GGGACATGCGTGTCGCGAGAGGGTTCGTTTAACACGCGCGTGCCGGGTTAACGCGCATTACAACGATTAAACTTGCCGCTTTATCGGCCCGTGTCGCCAAGTGTCGCCAGCGAGAAAATTGAATCGTCGCCCTCCCTCCGCCTCCCCTCATCGACGTCCATGTTCGTCCCGGATCGATAGGCTTTGAAATCGGCGTGTGCCGTTTAACGTCGCCGCCCGAAATTGGATCTCTGTTGTCGAACAACCTCCCGCCGAGTTGTTCGCGCCAACTTGCCAGCCATATTGCATTTTGCCAACCGAAGAAGGAAGAGGGTTGCTTGCACCGCAGAGGAATCAAATTTTCCAACTATTCCATTCCAATTTCTTTTTTTCTTTCGTTTTTCTTGATTCTCCTCTCTTCTTTCCATTCTTTCCATTCTTTCATCGAAGGAATCCTTTAGTTTCGATTTTAGTGATGCCGGATATTTGGAGATGTAGAGGAAGTCTTAGTGGCGAATCTTAGGTGTTAAAATTTGTATCGTCATTATCAATCAAGCGTGATCACACAAGATTGGAAAATTGGAATTGTAACGAATGATATTTGGTTTCTTTTTTTTTTTTTTGTTTCTTTTTAGAGAGGCTCGCGTTTTAATTATTTTCTAATGAATTTTAATGGATCGAACGACACTTGGGCATTAATCAAGTTGGACAGGCTCTCTTTTGTACTGGCTTAGTGCTTGACCTCTTTGCGAGTTTTTTCTTCTTTTTTTATTTAATCTTTGCCAATTATACATGGCACGTCCATCGAACCGGTTGGTATTATCCTTGAGCGTACATTTTCTTCGTGTCAAGATTGTTCCGAGCGAGGAGAGACGTGGAATTCTTTTACGATGTTTGCGTCGAAGTTATATAAACTGTTTGTCTCCCCTTTGCTCGAAGAATTTGCACAGAAAGGATACTTTTCGAATATTGCGTAAAGTAGAAATTTCTCCTTTCCTTCGAGCAATTGAAAAAAATCTCCATAAACGTCAGAATTTAAAAAAAGTCTTACAACTGCTCTTTTATCCTTATTTTTATGTTCCTTTCTTCCCAATATGGATTATTTCCAAAACTTCATCCTCCGACAATGTAACGAATGATTCCTAACTATCTCCCACAAATCGAAAAGTTTATCTTTCTCGACTTTCCACCACAGTCATTAAAAATAAAGAAGAGCTCCGACAAATATCAACTTTTATCTCTAAAAAAAGAAAAAAAGGAAAAAAATTAAAGAGATGTCAAACGTCATCCTGGTAAAATTTATTTCGAAGAATAATTGTAGATAGAAATGTCCATTAATAAACGACTTTCACGCGAGTCGAAATACAACGACTGGATAGATATTTCCACATTGGATGATACACGATGTCTAAAAAGTAGTCTTGGTCCGCCCATAAGTCATAGTCCGCTTCCATTCCAATATCGCGCGGTAGAGCAAAACCGCTTGGACGTCTTCTGTTCCGCTTGGATTCCACGCACGTACGTTATAACATCCGGTCGATTCGCCGCAAAATGGACGCGCTTTTGCCTCGACGACAGCACCGTCGTCGCAGAAACGTTTAACAAAGTTTCGAGATCGCGCTGCGACAATACACGGGCAATAACTTATTCCATTACGATTACCCTCTGTTTCTGCGAGGAATCGCGAGCCAACGCTGTTTTATTAATGCCGTTTGAATAATGCATCGGCGGCCTCCGCCGATCGCCTCCGACCCGGATATATCGCCAAGCTTTACTGGCGCACAATGGCCACGAAATCGGATGGTCGATCTTCAATGGATCAAAGTTTCCAAGATCCTCTCGTTTCCATCTCGCCGCGAAATCTCGCCGATTTGGGGATTAATAGATAGTTTCCAAGAATCATAAGGTTATTATTAACTTTTATCGACGTTTCGAACGAAGATTCTTGGAAATTTCTAAGGTTCCACGCGAAATAGGATTTTAAAAATTAAGCCAGCCTATTTTTTTTTTCTCTTTCATCCAGAAATTTTTTTGATATTACCTCCGATTCCAATAATTTCCTGGAAATCGTCCAGAATTTCGAAATATTTTCATTATATATTCGAGTAATAACGATATAACTGATTTATTGTACGAGATTCGTTTGATAGGGAAAATTCAATCGATTCAAGGGTTAAAAGAGAATTAACCAACTCGAAGAATTTCAGATACGATTAGCTCAGGTATGATTGATTAACACCAACTTACTATTACTTCACTCCCGACTTTTCGCTCGTGACTATGATGGAAGAGTTTCCAAGAACACACGTTCATCCTATGTATATCGTGTATATCGACAGGATGATCCCAGAATTTCTTAGAAGCGCGCTGCCCGATCTGAACAGCCCGAGGAAGATCCACGGTGACGGGTCGCGCGTAAATCCTGCCTGTTATCGAGCTACTCAAATATTTCTGCGGGGAAAATCCTCCATCTTCTTTCGTGGCGAAAAGATTTATCAGTAAATCGCGGATCAAAATCGTCCGACGAAACAGGCGATACGTTGTCAGTTGGAATTTGTCGGATCTTGATACAGATGAATCTTCGATGCGTGAAATGTCGACATCGCGTGAAAACGCGAATAAATATTTCTTACGTAATATCTTTGATAAATTCCATTAAATTTAAATTCCTTCCAATCCATGATCGTCTTGTCATCGTTTTTAATACTATTTTTTATAATAAATCAAAAATATCTTGGACGAGATTTAGTTAGTTTACCATAAAAAATCCTTGTATTTAGATATTTGCATATTATATATTTGAATCGCGATAGTAATTCGTGTCGAATGTAACATGAATTCACAGTAGTATGAATAGATATAAGAACCTACAAGATTTTATCCTAAAACACGTACGCTTAACGATTGATTTTTACTACTAGACAAACATCTTAGCACAATCTACCACTTTATCGAAAATGTGTCTGTGCACACATCTATATTTGCGGTTATACGTAACACAATTTAAATATTTTATAGTGATTCATATATTCCACGGAAGAGGTCCAGGCGATGGACTTAACGATCGAGTTTTACTATTGAAAATTTCACAATTTTAATCAAATCCATTTTTCCATCTAGATGAAACGAGACGCGTTTTCCAATTACAGATTATTTTTAATACACACGTGAAAAAATCTTCAACTTCTATTCCCTAATGGAAAAAGATTTTTATCCTCGAATGAAAAATATCGATTTCCCAATCCTTTCCCACTCTTTGGAGGATCATTCGGGTTCATTACGCGCGAAAAATCCAAACGAGGCAAAAACTCTTTCTCCTCCCTTCATACTCTCCATCGTCTTTAGACGATCGCCGCGAACGAACCGATTCCCAAAAACTGCCAAGGATTCCGTGAACGTACAGACATTTTGCATTCGATCGCATTCAATTTTCCTTGCTTCGCTCTCTTTTTCCGCTCGACGAGAACGAAACGCGTCGCCTTCATTTCGATTCTCTCTCTCTCTCTCTCTCCCTTCTATTCCCCCTCGTTCCAGCCACCGATCGTCCTTTAATACCGAATCGTCAAATCATTCCATCGTCACGCGGACGCGATGGCGTTAGATCTCGCGCAATTTCACGTAAATTTCGCGCGAAACACTTCGGGGACACGTAACACACCCGGCGACAACGATATGACGCCCGCTTATATGACGTCCGATGGTAACATGTGGCCCTGTTTGACTGATGCTCGCAAATCGCTATTTCGGCGCATCAGATACACGTGCAGGGTAGAGATCGGTGGCGATTAAAACGAGCCGATCGAGACTTCTTCGTCTGCATTGGATAAGGAAAAAAAAGGCAATAAGCATTTTAAAAATTTCATTTCTCAACTTTTAATACGTTTTCCTCGTTGTATCATCTTTTTCATTGTTATAGGAATTTATATTTTGTTTCTTTTCTGGATGGAATAATTTTGTTCGTCCGAATCCAAAGTTTAATTTTAACGATAATCGTGCCTTGATAAAAAAAAGGATCCGTAAATGAAAATAAAAATTAAAGAAATATTGTATTGTGAGATATCTCAAGTTTATAAGAATGAAAAGGTTAAATGGACCATGAAAGATATTGTGTATTTGTCAGAAGATGTTCAATCTTCGACGGGTTGAAAAAGACTTTCAATAATTTTTCTCCAGACCGCCGAAGTATCTCGAGCAGATTTCTAAATGATTGTGAATGCTTGAATGAACGCGGCCGATTAAACGTTCCCGTGCTCGTAATAATTTTACCGTCGCTAACAGACGCTTCTTAAGTTATACGTTCAGCATTTTATATGGGCGTAATATAATAGCACGATGAGATGATCGGTTTATCATTTTTTTTTTTTTCACTCCTTCTTTGAAATAATAATTCGTCGATGATGTGACGAGAATAGGAAATAATATTTTAAGGGTGAATTTAATTTTTTTTTGCATTTTTCAATGAAATATAATAACGATATATTCTAAAATTTTTGAAGGTGGACGTATACCAGTACAATACGGAGAGACCTGGGAAAGAAAAATTTATCGCCCATAAAATATTTTCAATATTTCTGAACGGTTGATTCAAACATAAACCGTCCAACCAAGCTTCCTTCATTCCGGATAGGAATCTCGAATATCGAAATCGAAGAAGAATTTTTGTAATAATACATTCAATTTTTTATGATCAGCGTAGTTTTTTATGATCGTAAATTTTTTTCTTATTTATTTTTACAATAGATAACAAAGATGGCTGACACCACCTTGATACGATTAACGTTTTATTGTGGAAAATTCAATCTGATCTCATCGTAAAATCCTCGTAAAGCGAACAAATTTTCATCGAGAAGTGTAACCTTTCTTACAAGAACCACTTAGAGCACTTGGATGCTGAATTTTCTTCTCTCCTACAATATACGAAATATTAATACAATACCAAGTAAACTAATACTTATCCAAGTTATTTTTTATTTACTATACGTGAAATTAAATAAATTTCAGTCTCTGTATACTTTACACCACGACAAAGTAAAAAAAATATGAAAAGAAATTAAAATTTTTTGATTATCAAAATACGTTCAAAAAATAGAGGAAATCACGCCATTCATATCGCTTTTTGTTTTATCCCGATATCTCAATTCGTTGTCGAGATATAATGATTCAAAGTTTCCGTTAACGTTTACCGTAGCGAGGAGATTATGAATGAATCCGCGCGACCCACTGACCCACATTTTTTCCTGGAAGTGCGTACTACTTCCAGGAATCGCGTCTGTCGCTTGTTTGAAGTTTGGGATAGGTCAATGAGGCGAGGCGCGAGCGAGAGGCCCGAATAAGAAACAAGGACGGAGTATAGTAAACGATTAAAAAATTACATTTCTCTTTACACGACGATATCTCCGGAACCGGAAGTCGTATCGGGATAAATCAAAATGCGTTTTAAAGAGGAAGCTTTCGCGCTTCTAACCATCTTTCACCTGTTGATCGGAAGTTATTATCCTTGGAGTTATAGCGGTTTAAAGTTTTCCTAATTTTAATACGGTTTAATCGAATTTTAAAGTATAAACTAGAGATAGATATGCTTCTTCCTGGAAATATATCACTTATAGGCACATTATTAACGTACGTTGAAGATTCTCAATTGATTTAAAAGTTGATCTCAAATTCTTTACTCGAAACTTGGACCTTCGTTTAATCGATCTGATCCGAATTTAAATACGTTAATTAAACGAAGGAGTGATAAAGAAGTATCGAGGCGAAACTGAATAAATAACTCTGACACAAGCGTTAAATTTATTCCGCAGGAATCATAAGAATTTCAAGTGGCACGATATTGTTTCCACTCGTAAACGCTCTCTATTTTACTTCTCGATGAGATTAAGTTACAACGGGGGCTTGCATTATTCGGAATAACGCGCGAGGTTAATTGCGAAACGCGTAACCACGAGATTCAAGATTGTAAGACACGATACCCGCAATAATTACGTTTCTCGTTATATCTCTCGGACTATAATTGAATTCCCGATAACATCGACGATTTCAGGACAATTCTTCTCCACGTTTCAATCGATTTCCCTCGATTTACCCTCGATTTCGCGCCACTCAATTTGTTCCTCGCTCTCAATGCATTAAAAAAATAAATGGAAATTGATTCAGACGAGACGAAACGCTATTTGACCATACTTACTTGGTCTTTGTAGTTTGATATTTTAATATATTTTAAAATATTCCCTCGTATTTTTCCACGCTTCATCCCATCACGCGTTCGAACATTCTGATTTTGAAATTTATTAAAAAAAAAAAAAAAAAAAAGACTAAAGCGATCGAACAAAATAACCAAAAGTAAAATATGAACGCCGCACGAGGTCGATTTATCTTCTATCCGTTCGCCAACACCTCCCTTTCTTCTCTCGAATATTCTCCTTCTTATTTCCGCGAACGTACGCGATCCCACGGTTTTATTATGATCGTTCTTCGGCATCGATCCAGCTTTTACTCGACACGGATCGACGTTCCTTCTCGCTTGCTCCTTTTTATCACTGATAGATTCTTGTAAAACTCGTGTCTTCCGTGCACCAATGGTACTTTAATGCATTAAAAAATGAGAAAGATTCCTAAGTTTAACGATCAGTGAAGTCTGCGAATAAAAAGAAGAAAAGGCAAAGGGGTCATAAACGACCGAAGGAGTTTCGTAATTTTATATTTCACGATTCACAATTTTTCTTCGACTCGTCTTTGCGTGATCATACATCACTCTCGCAATCATGTTAAGTGGATTCTATGATTTTTGGAAACGAGTTCATTCTGGCGAATCGTCCAAATTCTTTCTCCTCTCGAAATGAAATGGATTCGATTTAAAAAAAAAATAAAGTTGATTTTCTAAAGATACAAATATTTCGTGAAATATCATCTAGATGTAAGCGACACTCAAAGCGTTAATTGAAAATAATCAGATGGAACGAGCAACTTTTTTTTTTTTTTT